ATATATCTTATTTTAATATGATTTTTGTTTAAGCTGATAAGTAATTGCTGATTTTTTGCATCAAAAATAAACCCATGTTGCATTGCATTTTATATAAAAGGTTGTATATTGTCAATATTAGTATTTAAATTTATATGACAGTAGATGATTGAATAATAAAATGAATTATAGACATCATGTCCTTCACTGTTGCATTGCTAAGATTTTTTAAGAAATGCCATCTTTGAAATTAAGAAAAAGAAAAAACTCCTTTTTAAAGAAATGGTAAATAACATGGCCATAAGGTGAATATTGAGATTTTAAGTTACATGTTGTAACACAGCCATATTATTTACTTGTTACAATCAGGACACAACCAGTATTCCTCTGGCTCCTTACTCATCCTTAAACATTTTAAGTGATACCACTTGATTTTGCAATCCGTGTTTTTACAACGAACAAGGGTGCTTCCTTCAATATGCTGCTGACATAGACACCAATAAGCATCATAATCATCTGAGGCTACTGGTTGTCCAACAAATGGCAAGGAAGATCTTGTGAACCACTGTCCTATTACCTCTGGGAGGATAGCTTTGTAGAAAAAATCTTTTGATTTGATTAAAGCTCCTCTCCAAAGTTCTAAATCAGGAAGGATTCTCTCAATATATATTCCTCTTGGTGTCCAAACAACAAAGTCACAGTACTCAATATCACAAATGAAAAGTTGTGCCTGTACTTGATAGTAATAACCATGTGATTTATCCAATAAAATGTTATTGCCATCCCTTTTTAAGCAAAATCCTTTCTCGTCTGCTGCTTCCCATGGTTCCAAATCAATAGCTATCTGACACTGTGAAATTGTCATGCACAATTCCCATTTCTTTCTGGTAAGCACTGCGTGCAACTGCCTCCTTTGCTTTTCCCCAGTTAGTCGCAACATTGCTGAATTTGTGAGCCTCTGGGTAGCAAATGCTCTTTACCAAGCTTGCTGGTGGCTTTGTAGCTCTGGAACAATAAACAGACTTCAATTTGGATGCTGTTAATGCGGCCAGCTCTTTGTCTGAACCAAAAACGTGATGAGGCTTGCCCCCTCGTGTTGGATTCAACAGCTTTGCATTCTTCTTGAGTGATTTGAACTTCAATGTTGGAACACTTTTCAAGAAGCCTAGTGAAATCTAGGTCAGGTTCTTTCTCAAACTTCTCTGTGATAGGCTTGGGCAAATTCACTTGTTTTGGGACATACAGGTCACTAAATGGTTCCATAAGAGATAATATTGCTGGTCTAGTACCACAACAAGATATATTTTCAATGAAACTGTTTTGTTTTTCTAGAGTAGCTCTATTTTGAATACCATTGGCATTACCTGCTGGTAGATCTCTTGAGGCAAATGGAGTTTTTCCCTCACCTAACAGCATCTTATGTTTTTGCTTGGCCGACCTTAAGTCCATCTCTGATGCTGGTAGGTAAGGAATTTCCTTAACATGGGAGGGCATTAACCATTTGTTTTTGTTGCCAGTGCATGTTTTCAGTCCCTCAATTCTTGATCCAGCTTCGCAGGCGAACAAGAGTGCACCAATGTGGGAACATGCTTCACTCAAGCCCGCCATGCAGTTGCAGTTTGCGGTAATCACAGTGCCATCATTTTCGGTGAAAAACCATGTCTTTAAAGGGGTTTCTCGTGCTCTTTGCGAATGGTTTACCTGTATAATCAAAAGGAAACCATTATTTGAGCATAAGGAGCTAATGAAATATTTTAAATTGCTTCGGTTAAGCCCCCGGGGGAGGCTGGGCTAGAAACTTTAAACTTTTTTGGTCAAATTCCCCTTCTTCAGGATTCTGAATGGGGTCAAACTCATCTAAAATTCCCACCTTGGGACAAATTCAGGGGTCATACAGTCTCAAAATTTGGCCAAATTTCCCACCCTGGCGACAGAATTATGTGGTAAATCCCCCTGTGGGGGGCAATAAGTGTTGTTGATCTAATCCCAACCTCTAGCCTGGCCTCCCCCCTGGGGGCTTAACAATTGATAGGTGCATAACTGCAAAAACAAGTGTTTTGCTTGGATGTACCTCTTTCATAAGAGAGTGCCGACCCAGCCAGATACGAAGAAATTATACGCGTCCATTGATTTGTACGCTCTCATCTGCTTATTGGTAGCCCAAGATGTTTGGAAAAACAAGTAGTTCACGATATCTGGGTATACGATGCTAGGAATTTTTGCACAATCTTCGCTGAAATCACCATTTATTAAAGAATACGGATCAAATCCGATGTTTTGCACTTTTTCCCTGTATCTATCCTTGACAGGTCCAATCATAGAATTGTAATATTCCGAAAACTCTATAGGATTGCCTCGTGAGCTTACACTCAATGTTCAATTTCTGTCTTGCGTCTTTGTAAGTAGCGTTGTGGACGGTTTATTGTTATCGTTTAGCCAGAAAACGCTACTTATAAGTCACGTGGCCTGTGACGTCGCGCTGCCAGGGGGGTTGGTAACCATCAGCGTTGGAATACAAAGACTTTGGTAGTACAATTAAGTCAAATAAAGGTTTATTTCGAAAACTGGCAATAATGTTATCTTAGCAAGTCACGTGATATGTGACGTAATACACCCAAAATCTTTGGGGTGACTGACAGGGCACGTGACTACATCCCTGCCAAGTTTCGTAATCGCAGCTTGTATTGCCGCGGAGAAACTGGGACAGGGGCCATCAGAGGTGAGGGGACACCAGACGTGGGGCCACCAGACGTTGTGGAACGTGCCAAGCTTACTTGCGAAGAATTGCGGTTTGGTATAAGGTCTCAGTTGATCGCGTGTGACTGGGAATCACAGTAACCAAATCTCATGCTGCGTTTACACCATACCGGACGAATTTTTAAACCGGTGGAAAATTTGACCTGTACGTACCATTTACACGGACCCGTCTCATATATTGTATAAAAATACGTGTTGTTTACACGGAATAGGATCAATATGATAATTTCATTGATTTTCAATCTTGTCCGAAAAGTTATCTGGACAAGGTGTTCACAGGGTACCGGTCAATTTTTTAAATCGTGCAAGACAAAAATTCAACCTCCATTTCGCAGGTCCAAAACTTGCAGGGCTAGGCGTGCGGACTATTGTTCGGATAGCACAGTTGTGTGTGTTGTGAAAAAAACATACAACTTTTTGACCTTTCAAAAATTTGTCCGGTATCGTGTAAACGAAGCCACAGTGTGTAGATCAAATTGGCTTATAATACCTCCTAAATGTGCACATTTAGGGTCGATATCTTGTTCTCATATCATATCTATCATTTACTAGCAGGGCATGCTTTTTGATGTAGACAAATAATTTTATTACACATTTAGGGTCGATATACTTGTTCTCATATCATATCGCTTACTCGCTCGCGCACTCGCTTGTTTGCGATATGATATGGAAACTCGTGAATAAACACGATATCAAACGTGTGATAATTTCTATTTGTTGTATTGTATTTCAGATATCAAGTCTAGGGTATTTGTCTTGTATCTTGGTGTGTCATGACATGGGAGGATATATAGGATGGTGAGTCGCTGGTAAAGCTAGTATCCTGTTCTGTGTATACTTTGACCTGAAATATATTTATTTCAGGAACTCTAAATTCGTTTAGAAATGGGTTTAAATGGTTTTTTGTTTTTCACTTACCGTTCTGAAGTTCTCGATCTCTCCATTATTGAATATATTCTTCAAAT